CTTTACCTGAGTTTTTAAAGTCAAAATTTCGTAAAAAATACCCCACAAAAATCATCATTTTTGCATTTCAATGCTTTATATTTCCCAGACGGTAAGCTGAAATCACAAAGTGTTTGGGCTTAACTTCTAGCTGTTTCAATTATCTTTTCAAAATAGTAAAGTTATTTACAACCAGACGTAAGATATTAGAGTTTTGTGGAAAAAGAAGCACTACCTCTGAAAAAAGCTTTACATAAAAATAACAGAATTCAAAAATTATTCTAAAAAAAGTTCTGACATAGAAAAAAAACCATAATTCTTTAAAAAAATTTAAAGTCCCATATCTATCAGAAAAAGTCGGTTTGGATCCTTGAAGAAAAAAAAAATTGGATTTTGTCGAGTAGTGTAATCAAACTAACATGCAACATACAGCCAACGAACCATGGCTCTGGCCACGGTTCTCTATAAATAGCGGTGTGTCAGCACCTCCGGAAAATAAAATAGTCTTAAACAACACCCAATTACCTAAATTAAGAACTCTCAACTCTAGACACCAAAATAAAACACCCCACCTCCTGTATTATTTCGCAATCAGCGATGACAGCACAAAATTCTCGGTCACCCACGTCTTTGCGTTATTTTGCAACCATTCACGTCAGCCTCAAATTATCGACCTACCGACCCAAATTCAGCTATCACCTTCCGCGATGCAGATTCAGCAAAAACCAATCCTAAACGCAATCCCCAACTGCAGCCAGCACCTGCCGCGATGGAGTAACAGCAAAACACTCCCTAAACTCCCACTGACCCACTACCCAATTGTCAACAAAGCACCAAGCTTCGACCTACTTACCCTACCCCACAATTATTGTTGCCCAATAATCCTTAGTTAGCAATAATTAATCGCTACTTAAAAGGGCCAAGATCGGCCGAAGAAACAGGCAGTACATCAGCCCGAACCCAAGAGGCTGCACTAGGCAGTACACCAGCCCAAACTCAAAAGACTACACTAGGCAGTCCACCAGCCCGCAACGCAAGTAGTACCGCCAGCAGGTTCTAAATTGTAAACAAACCAGCCAAGCAAATAAAAGAATAATCAACACAACCAATACAAACGAACCGACAGAAGTTCTTGAGTCATATAATTTCCCACCTTACCTACCACTCTTTCCATCATTCAAGGCTAGCCCCGAACCTTAAGTTCCAGCAAATCTACAAATTTCTTTTAGAATAACCCTGGACAGGCTGATGCATATCCCAACCTGAAATAAGGTATTTTACAAGTGGCGCCCGAGCAGGGATCTTTGGTAACATTAAGGAAATTTTAAGGAAACTTAGAGCACACCGTAACACGGGGCTTCGTTGACTAAAAATCAACGGCCACAGAAAGAGAATAGGCTAGCGAGGACCAATACCCGTCAAGCACAAACAAACAAAAAACATCGCCTATGCAAAATCCGGTCGCGAACAAGTAGTGGCGCAGTGCCGATCCTACGAGTGTCGAACGAAAGTGCTACCGTACAGAAGCACCACAAAAAAAAACGTAAGTCAGTGCCACTAACCACATTTCTGTGGAAGCCCACGGAGACGGCCAACCCGACGAATTTTTCCCTGAGGGACACCATACCAATCCAGTGGTCACCACGACCCACTTGCATTTCTGGAACTACTCGAAGAACGTGTGCTCTCGTATGGGGAGACGGAACTTCTCACTGATCGGGCCAGTCGCTGGTACCGTACCAGCCAACTACAAGGCAGCTCATGGGCATATTTCCGCCAAGAATTCTTGACGTTTTTCTTGCCGCCACGGTATTTTGAACAATTGGAAGACCGGATCCGGGCCTGCAAGCAAGCGGTTGGGAAATTGTTCAAAGGTTACATCATTGAGATACGTCTACTCATGCACCACACCGGGTACGACACAGCCAAGGAGCTGATCAGAACCTACGACAACACCCTGCCAGTATACCAGATGTACGTGTGCCGACACGAACTCCGAAGCTTGGCACAGCGCACACTGTTGGCCACAGAGTTCGACAGTATCCAAGAGCGGACCATCCCGACCACTTTCGCACCCCCGCGGAACAAACCAAGATACGCAATGCCGGCTACAGAGCAAAGGAACGACGACTCGCACCGGACGCCATTTCGGAGACCCCAGACACACCAGGGAGACCGCCAGCTCATCCAGACAGTACGGCGAACCCCGATGTCGCACATCGCATGATCACAACCCCCATCGCCAAGCCAGGCGCAGCCTGTCGCCGGTGTGGTGAAGCCGGGCATGCGGCATACGACTGCCAAAATCCCTCGATCCCGTTCTGCAGAGAATGTGGTCGTCGATTGCTGCCGCCGAAACACGTCGGAAAACGACATACGTCCCCAACTGCCATGGGATCGGCCGGGAACGACGCCTCCTCCGACCCAAGCCACAATCAACACCGGGGGCATACAGAAGCTTTATCAGTGCAAACCTCGCCCGACAACTAGACAACAACACCAACCTGCAAGGTGCATGCGTCCGCATACGACTGGCCGATGGCTCAGTCAGAGAGATCACACAAGTTCTGCTGGCGCACATCTAGCTGGATCAATGAGAGGTTCAAATCCCGCTCCTGGTCCTGCCCAATCATGTTGGGACAAGTTATTGTCGGCATGGACTTCCTATGTGCCACCGAAAAGTCGATTCAATGCGGCACCACGCTGCTACAGCTACGAGACTGTCGCCCCTTGCCCACTGAAACCGTGCTTACTACCATCCACGTACAAGACGCCGAGCCCCGAAATAAGAAACCCCAAGAAATCGCAACGAACCCACGTCCAAGACCTACTACAACGCACACGGCACCTAATAACGCAACGCAGCATTTGACACCCGAAACAAACGCAACGAACACGACGCACTTGACCACAACGGAGAACACGTATCCGAGGTCAACACCAGCAAACAGCAATCAAGCAATCGGGGAAATGAGTCCCACGGTCACTACGGAGCAACCGCGCCCTAGGCCAACAATAGGGAACACGCATTCCAAACAAATCACGAGGATCTCACACACGAGACAAACACACTTGAACCCGGCGGACGACACAGGAAGCCCAGGTCCAAGACAAGCAACAGAGCAAGCACGCACAGAATCCGCAACGGAAGAATTGAACACCCGAACACCCTCAAAGCCGACCACCAGCATCGAACAAGGACAACGGCAGCAACCATCCGACAGCCCAGCAACACGGGAAACAGCCACGCTGGCCACGCTGACCAGCTAACCCCACGCTGGTCGGGGCCAACAATCGAACTAATATCCACAGAGCCTTCCCGCCAGGACCCGAAAACCAGAACGATGACCCCACAAAACATCGACCGCAGCCCTCTCGTACCCATTGCTGACGCCACAAAGATCTTCGCCAACATATTGGAGTACTTTCCGCGTACCGAGGTGACTGCTAGTCCCATACACCCAGCCATGCCTAGGCCATGTCCGAAATCTTCGTCGCCCAAACAAGCCGTTGCTCCAACAACAGAGACATCGTCGAGATCCGCCAGTTCATGCACCAGTCTGGAGACAATACAACCCAAGTACTCCACCAGATCTACGAAACTACTCTACCTACGGTCAACGCCACCCCGATCGTCGCCCACATAAGCGATTACCACCGGAGGATCGAACCGTCCAGCGGAAAGACCCGAATCAATACTTTGACCCCAGAGCCACCAAAGACGAACCAGAACAGCCCACGGATCCTTGGCTACCCGACATAGCCACCTCAGATTCCAAAATCCCTGGACAAAGAACTACCAAAGTTTGATAATCCGCACGGGACGTCAGACATCGCCGAGCCAACCAACGTCATGTGGGATAATAGACCCACCAAGCAGAATCCAACTACAAAGCACCCAGAACAGCGGAGTTTTCCACGATCACAAAAGCACTAGCAAATATAAAGTTACCGACGCCACGCTAAAGTGATTTCGCAATCTGCGAAGACAGCACTAAATTCTCGGTGACTTCTTTGCGGTATTTTATGCCACAGCTCATTTAAAACATTTAAAATAAGTTAAACGAGAAGGAACGTGCGAGTCGCTTCTGGGGACGCGACTCTACTTATACCCGTACTCAGTCAGTATATGCATTTTTGAGCATATAATTTTTTAGAATTTTAGAATTAAAAAAAAAAAATTTTATATTTTTACATTTTTTTTGATACATCTGTTATCTACATATATTATGTATATTCTACATCTAACATGTAGATTAAACATTTACCATTTAGATTCTACATCTCCTCCGCTAGGGGTTGATCGCGCACTGAACGCGACAGAGTGTGCGAGCGAGAAGGAAACTGTGTTGCAGGAGGGGGAAGGGGAAAACAACTGATAATTAATTTCTTCATTCTGGCTATAATTATGATCCGATCTGATTCAGATTCGGCAGTCTGGTAGATATGGTCATTCTCTACGATACTGCGTTTTTAATTTTAGCGTATCTTTAAAAATGTGCCTGCCACAGATTTTCGTCCTTTGTGTGGGCGGAAGGGGGCGGGGCGAAATTTTGAAATACACTTGTAGCAGTGTGATATCACATGAGTGTGGAAACCAAATTTGGTTGCCCTATCTCTTATAGTCTCTGAGATCTAGGCGCTCAACAAGACGGGCAGACAGACGGACAGACAGACATGGCTATATCGACTCGGCTATTGATGCTGATCAAGAATATATATACTTTATGGGGTCGGAAAATTTTCCTTCTCTGCGTTACACACATCCACTTTTATCACAAATCTAATATACATACCCCTTAACTCTTTTTTGAGTACGGGTATAAAAAACCTTTTATAACTTTAAATTTTGATGCACATATTTGTATACTATACATATATTTATTAAATATGAAGTTAATTATAGTGCTCTGAGACATGTACTTATTTCCAGTGCTATTACATATAGGCATTTCTCTGAATTCGAATGTCGGATTTTCAAATTTACCTGCTTCCTTTAATGAGATATAAAAACATGGCCATTTTGATAATACCCTGCAAGGGCGTATAATCGGAAAACGTGTACTTAATCTAAGACAGAAAAATATGGTTCTGCATTTTTTTATAGTTATAATTATAGATTTAAATGACTTATTCTTCTTTAATAATTCCGATTTCTTTCAGGAACTGGTCTGTGTTGGTTTTATAGACATTTTCATTTAATTGTCTACTCCAAAGTATGTACTGTAAAAAAAAAAAAAAATAATAAGTTAAACTGGACATTGTAATTTATATACCAACACGCTCCAGTTCAGCCCGCAGTGCAACGACAGCTTTTTCACGATCTGCAACCAACTCCTCAAGGTACTGATAGCGTAGTTTTTTACGGGCCCGGCATTCCCTAGCACTTTGCCTGCTACGTTCTATAAAAAAAAAAGTGTATAAAAGTATAAACTAATTACAAATTCGAAATATTTTACAATTCACTTACCAAGCTTTGCCTTTAGATCTATTTTTTCGGTCGATGTTTTTCTTCCAGGCTTCCGTCCTCTTTTTCCACATTCTTTGCGGACCTGTTAATATTTAATTATAGAGCTAATAAGATTTATGCACATCCAAAAAATTTAAGCAAATTTAGCTCCATAATATGTAAAGAATTGGCAGGTCAAGTAGGTTGACGATAGGGATGCCATGCCAGCCAAATGAGTCGAACGGATAGACGCAATATTTTCTGACGAATGTAAATTTTGTTCAGACGAAGAGTAGTTATTTGGACATACCCTATTGGAACCATACAGGAACTTGGATACGACCGTGAAGGATATTTAATTTGTTAAATTTTAGAAGAATTTTAAGAAGCTCATAGAAGTCCGAAAATTTTGTACATGAAAGAAAAACTTTTCATATTCCATTACCTGTCTGAAACCGCAAAAAGGGCACATTATGATTCAGATGTTTCATTTTATGTAAGTAAGCAGATTTTACTGCATTTTTCTTGAAAATGTTAAATTAACTAAAATCAAACTAGGCTGCAATTATATTGATAATAAGAGTTACATACATATACATAAGTTAAGCCTATGATCAAAATAAAAACCGGTTTTATTATGTGTTGCTGTTATTTTTTAATGGTCCTGTATGTGTGCTTCTGTTATTTTTCAATGGTTAAAGTATGGGAAATCTTGAAAACCATTTTTTTACTCCAAGGACTGGAAACATAAACCAACATAAGACAACTAAGATCACTTTAAAATTAACGAAGATAGTAATTTTATAGAGCCTTGGATAAAACATAGCCAAGTGTCCTTCCCTTTTTAAGGGAAATGTCAAATTATTATATCATATATTATACATCACGATTGTTGTTATTTTTTATTCTCGTGTAAAAACTTGCTCAAACAAAATGTATAAAGGCTAAATATGTATATCTTACTAATGGAAAGGCTTCCTCCGTGACAGCCATTTTATTATTTTGGGAATCCATTTAGTTCATAAACTTGCACTACAAAGAAAACCTTGGGCCTTTTCTACTCTTGCTTTTTCAGTTTCCAAGCCATCGATTCACTAATGCTCAGTCAAGTCAACTACACTAAGTATGGTACAATTTGGAATAATGAAATAGTATCATAATAATTTAATGAAACAAAGAGGTATGTGAGGATATATTAATATTAATGGTTTCTTGATTATTACTCCAGCTCAAAATTCACTCATTTGAAAATCGCTGGGTGAGCAGTACAACCGTTCAATAATATGGAAAAATTCGATAATATCAAGTCACATTCTGCCGCTCGCATTTACCTACTAAGTACATTAGTTTAGTACGAATTAATTTTTTGAACGAATTAATATTTAAAAATATTACATACGATGCGTTTCGCAGTGAATATTTATTTTTTGGCCGAAGTATTAGGGCTGCTCTGATATTGTAGAGAAACGTCAAATCTAGGAACATCAAAGGGGGATGGGGACTATATCGGCACAGCAAACATTATAGCCTCTGCACATCCTGTGGGAACGGTGGGAAACTCTACTGATGTGAAACTACGATTTCCATTGGTACCATCCACCAGCCATGAAAAAGAGCTCTTGCATACAATTAAATGCCGTGGAAAATTTGTTTACTTGTGATAATTAAAACGATTTTTTTTACACAAGCAAGGAGGAAAAGCTACGAACTGCCGAGCCGCGATTACTGTACTAAATCGTATCGCCAAAGCATTTTATACTTGGGGCTCCTCTTCTGAGTACTAAGAGGAACTTTCTCATTCTGAGGTCCGTCCAGAATTTTTCTACCAGAAATTTGCAGATGCGAAGTGAGGATATGGATAAGTCGAAGGAAATACCGAAGACACAATTTACTCGAGGAAAAATGATGACGTAGGTTGGTTGCTTTTGTTTCTTAGTTTTGACGTGCTTTTATTGTGTCGTTCTTTTGGATTTATTGTTTAATTTATCTTGTCAGCGCTGGTCTCGGACTGTGTTGAGTGACTGGAGGCTGATCGACTGCGTTGAGTGTCTGTTGCTGATAGCTGATGGCTGATGGACTGCCCTTTCTTTGGACGAGCTTGTGCCTTTTATGCCCACTGCACACTGAGCCCATTCCGGGGGAATGGTGGGAATATTTGAAAGATTTGAAACATCTGGACATGGAGTATGATAATCAGGCCAACATTGACGAGAATTTATTGGAATAGATATATGTTTTGAAAACACTAAAGCGTAGTCATTTGTCTGGATATTGATATGCAATGACTGCACCATCAAGTGGCCCATGCGAAACCAAGCCGAAGCCTGTTACGCGCGGAACCCAGGCAGTAACGAATCCCCTCCTCCCGCCCAGCCGACCGAGGGGCGCAGCCGCATGACGCGCGACGCGTGTCACCGAACCGATCGGGAGCATGCAGGAAAGATATGTGTTAGACTAAACTTCGAAGAAAATTGGAGCTAAACACAACTCAAAGAGCTAAACATGCAAAGATAGCTAATAAATTGTACTAATTACGGGAAAGGTATGTTAGTATTAGTGATTTAAGAAGAATAAGGGAATGAAGTCCGAGCATAGGACACTAATTGCTTCGTCCAATGAGTAATTTTATCTACAAAGCGGAACGAACAAAGGAATAAAGTTTCTAGTAGATCTAATAGGAATCGTAAAGTTTATGCGACTCAACAAGTCAGGGCTATCTACGGCACCCTTGATCAAGAATTTTTCTACCACTAACTAGGTTGGAAGGTTTATTAAAAGCAATGCTGATTATGGATAGGGTGATTAGTTTAAGCAGGGGTCCACACAGAGCGTCGGCACAGTCCCTGAGTACACAGCCGGGCACTCCGTTGGGACCTGGTGATAACACCGGCTTAACTAGTCGAAGATCATGAAGCAGTTAGCTTTCATTTAACAAGGGGCTGAAAATGCCATTCGACCTTGGTAAACTGTATGGATACGGCTTTCATGAGAATAGGTTGTTTAGAAAAATTTGGCAAAAAGATCGGCAATTGCCTCATCATTGTCTGCCGACATATTAAGAAAAGATAACGAGGATGGATGTGCGGACGTTCTACGCTTACTATTTACGATATCCTATCCTGCATCGAGATAGGTAGTTTTTATAGCATTGAGCGCTAAGAACGGAGAAATTTGACTGAGCTATTACATAGTGAGAAAGAGAAGAGGGAGAACCAACTTCTCGAAATTTTGTATAAAGTCTTGATTTAAAATTTTTTAGACTGGATAACTCTTTGGTAAACCAAGGAGGCTTTCCAGATCTATCCGGACAAGAAAGTGGGACACAAGAATCAAAAAATGTGTAAATTGTAAAAAATGTTAATGTCTTCACACAAAACGTCAGTGCACAAGTACAGAGCGGACCAATCAAAATCCCTAATGAGGTTATTAAGCTTCGTAAACTGGGCTTTACGAAAGCAGCGGACACGTTCAGATAGCCTACCCATTCGATCCAATACAGTAGGCCCATTATCGACCAACACTCCGAAGCAAGCCGTCGATAAAGTCATGTCGTGACATGGGCACAAGGTTATTAGACTCGTTTACCGAAGACCAAACAGTACCTGGAAAATTGAAATCACAAAGAACTATCATATGGTATTTATCTGATAGCGAGGAAGAAACAGTTTTTAAAGCGGACAGGTGATGCTCGTATATTAAGATATCTGAGGAGGGTGGAATATACGAGCAAGTAATGAAAATGGAAAAGCCTGGGAGAATCAGTTTACCGCACAGGAATTCCAGGTCTTATTGAACCTGGACCATGAAATGTTCCGACGTGAAGATTGAGTCCCCTGCAAGTAGGACTCCACGTCGAGACGAACGGTCAAATTTAAAAATTGTGTACCGACCTGCCAAAGCTTCGGAACTAAGGATGTCCGGCTTTAACAAGGTCTCGGTAAACACAATAACATGGGGCGAGAATGCGAGACTTTCAAGAAAAAGAGTGCTGAGCTTACTTCGCAAGCCTCTAGCATTCTAGTAGGTAACTAAAATGTGGAAGATGAGGATAAAGATTGAGCACTGGTCTGACTACTAGGAATAGTTATGGAGGGCCTATTCTTTTTCTTAGCCTTAAACTCTTTGACGACCAAATGCTCCAGCCGCGGCTAGCCGCGAGATAAAACTTGTCGCTTTGGTAAGACTCCCACCAGTGGTTTTGGCATCACAGGTCTACTACCTGTGGTGGTCCTGGACATATATTAGCTGGTGGGAGCGAAACTGATGGGATAGTTAAGGAGTTGGGTGCGGACTCGACGGACGCTACAGACATATCTAAATGCATACTCTCCGTAGTGACGCATTCGGCTCCCGGCATCACCAGCAGCGATCGTTGCCCTTGGAGTAGCAAACGTAATCAACTGCTGCACTAAGGGAGTGGTCGGCGTAAGTTTTTCGGCTGCCGGCGGACATGAGGCAGTCGGCACTTGCAAGTCCCGTGGAGTAGACTTCTTGCGCATTGGAGTCTCCGCCAGCAGCTGAACACTGCTGAACTGAGTGTCCATGACCTAGGGCCAATCATTTTGCTGTTTAAAGACTACGATCAACTCTTTGAAGCCACTCCGCGTCTGCCTCATGAACGAACGCATGTCGTTTTCCACAAAACAGCATTCCTCACAACTATAATTCAGGCCGTTATTTTGGGTATTGGCATCACCTGCACGGCCCGAGATCCCTACACATTTTGCGTACACTACGCTTTCGCAAAGCCAGCAAGGGATATTGGGCTGGTCATGGGTGATCTGCTTCTTGCCGGTTTTTTTGGCGCAGACGACTGAAAATTCAATAATTTCCTTTAGTTTTTTAATTCGAGGAAAAAAAAAGTTCAAAACAAATAGCAATCAGACCAATGTGCAGAGCAGATGCTTAGAGCAATGCTGAAAGCGAAATCGGTAAAAATAAGCTGTGAGAGGAGGGTGGTTGCTGCAACTTATAAGCTTATAAGTGAGAGCGAAACTGCACAGAAAGTTATAAGAGCAAGAGAGAAAGAACAGTTATTGAGAGTTAGGTGATAGACGGCAAAAGCTACGACAAAGAGCAGCTAAATGTAATGAGAGGACGTACTTACGAAAAGCAACAGCACAAACACACGACTAACCGACGCACAACATTAATCAAATAAGTCATTTGTGACTGCTTCTACTAAATCCAATCAATGTTTTAAATAAAAATACATAATCTATGTTTTCTGAGAAGTGGTTTGGACATTTTGGGAGAAAGATGTACCCGAAAACAAGAGTCGTTTTTTAAGGAAAGTTTTCTATAGCCATAGCATTATTTACTTTGGGCTCTTTTTCTGAGTACAGAATAGTCGGAAAGCTGTCAGCCAATAATATATAATAAACTTTTTTTCCGACTTTTTCTGAGTTTATTAAGTGAAAAAATAAAAAAAATTATTAATTTTGCGTTTGAAAGCTTATAGACTGGGGCTGCGTCATACTTCTTTGCGTATTGCCGGAAACGCAGTTTTTTTTTACATAGGTTAAGCTTAGGAATCTAGTCGGGGGGAAAAAGTTGCGTCGCTTTTGGATGCATGTGCGTATATTCTAATTATTGGAGAAGAACTTTTATGGTTTTCATGGTTTGAAGAAGAGCTCCTACAAACTTTACAAAGAAATGTCTGAAAATAATAAATAAATATGATAATCAATTCTCTTTCGTCCGTTTTCTTGTCGTCTTGCTTAATTCTGTTGATTTCCAAAAATTTGGTTACATTCCTTGTCATCAATCACCCAAAGCAGCTGTTCTCAAGACGCACGTCTGCCAATGTGAACTCCTTTCTGCTTCATTGCGTCTCTTCCGAAATCGATAGGAAACGCGACCAGAGTGAAAAGTCTATTAATATTTAACAGACGGTAAGCTAAACTATAAAGTGTTCAGGAACACTTTATAGATGCATTTATCAATTTTTCGGAATGGAAAATATCATTACAACTAGATGTAAGATGCTTAAGTGAAAAAAGAAGCGGTACAGCTGAAAACAGCAAAAAAATACCATTTTGTTTAATTGATGAAGTTCCCGGCAACCAAATTCTGGCAT